GGGCTTCAAAACCGAGCACTGGACAACTGTCTTTTAAGCTTAGCTGGACTGAGCAGAGGCATCAAAAGTGGAAAAGTGCCAATTCCGCTGCATCCAATCATCTGGACGAGGCTTCAGGGATGTCACTGGTGGATAGCCCAAACATCCTCTCCAGCGCCTCCATGTTCGCCAGAGTGACGCCAACGGCTTTTAGGTCAGTCCCATCACACCTCAGAGCAGTCATCGGCCCATGCAGCAGCTTGTTCACGATTCCCCGGCTCAAGTCCTCCAGCACCTTCTTCTCCTTCTTGGTCATGTCGTCCCCGCCCAGCTTCTTGAGAGCTTTCTCCATCTCAGCGGAGCGTATGGCCTCAGCCATGCCGCGCAGGGCCTTGATGGTTGGCACAGTTTCGAGGGAGTCCCGCCATGCCTCAAATGCCTCCTGCTCCTCCTTCAGCAGCACTTCCGCCTCTGCGGCTGCCTTGCGCCGTTCCTCCTTGTTTGCTGCAACCACCTCTGCAAGGTCATCCACATTGTACGCAACTGCACCGTCCTGCCCCTTGATATCAATGTTTCTGGGGACGGATATGTCCACAAAGCGCCGCACGCCCCCGACCACTGGATCCCGAGGGGGCATCCCCACCACGTCCTCCGATCGGATGAGAATCTCCTGTGAGCTGGAGGCAGCAAAGATCACGTCCGAGGCCTCCACACACGCCATCAGGTCGTCCATGAGGTGGATCTCGAATTCCACTTCTCCGAACTCTTCAGCCAAGGCCTCCGCCCTGGGCATGCTCCTGTTCAGAATCGTCATCCTCTTGCACCCCTTCGAGTACAGGTGCTTCACCAGCAGGGCGGCCATCTTCCCTGCCCCAATGATGCACACTGCGGCGTCATCAAAGTTGTGCGTGGGCAGTTTCAGCTGTGCCAGCTCCGCTGCAGCGGAGCTCACGGACACTGCCCCCGAGCAGATGGTCGTCTCGCTGCGCACCCGCTTGCCCGACGTGATCGCCGCCATGAACAGCCCCTTCAGGTGCCGCCCAAAACCCTTGCAGTTCTGGCCCACCTTGTACACCTGCTTCACCTGGGCCAGAATCTGCCCCTCTCCCATCACCAGGGAATCCAGCCCCCCTGCCACGTTCAGCAGGTGGTTCGTGGCGTCCCTGTCCCTCAGCAGGAACAACGAGGGGCGCAGCTCCTCGACGGGGATACCGCTAACGCGAGACATCCACTCTTCCACCTCCCGCACCCCGCGGTGCCAAGACAGGGCCACGACGTAGACCTCCATCCGGTTGCAGGTGGACAGTATGCCGGCCTCCTCGATGTGGGGGAAGGCGCAGAGCTCCTCGATGGCGCGCGGCCACTCCGCCTCGGGTACGGCCAGCTTCTCGCGCACGTCCACGGGGGTGTTGTGGATGGTGAGGCCCAGTGCCACGATGCTGCTGCGCTTCTGGGTGAGGTAACCTGGGAGCGGGGTAGGAACGGGATTGGCCCCCAGGAGAGCCAAAACTGTCCAACGAAAAGCTGAAATGTCCAACAAAAGCCGAAATTTCCGACAGAAGGTGCAGTAGCCACGAAGGGGCACGGCAAAAGGCAGGCGGGGCTCCGTCACCGGCGATGCGCATCACGTTGCGCGCTCGGGGCTCGCTGCGGCGGAGGCAGAGTGTCTCCTCGCGCCGTGCCTGCCCGGCTGGGCGGCAGTTCGGGACGCACAGCGCTGTGCTCGCGCCGCGAATCGGTGCCAGGAGGCTGCCGGCCCCTGCGACAGCCCCGGGGCAGGGGCACCGCCGGTGGCCGTCGCCGGAGGCCGCGAGTGGCGCCGCGCCCCACACTCCAGTCACTCCACAGGACGCGTGAGTTACACCGACGGGGCGGCCGCCGCAAACCCCGGCCCCCCGTAACAAGCTCGATCAAAGCCAACCGGCCACCGCGCACAGCGGAGGCACACGCCCAGCGCATCTTTCCCCAGCGTCCCGATTTTCACACCCCGTTTCCCAACAACGGCATTCTCGCGATCCCTCCACTCACGATTGACGTCCGCGTCCGCGCGCAGCACCTCCAGCACCCGCCTGCTGCTCTCCTCGTGTGACGCCGGCAGGCTGGCCCCGCACCGGACATCGCATCCCGCCGCCTGCCGCCCGGCGAGCCTGACAGCGGCCGGGCAGGGCACCCTGCTGGCCATCAGGCTGGCGCGCTGGGCCAGGGATGCGGGTCCAAGCCCGCCCCGCCCGCGGCAATGGGGATCCATGGCCGCCTGCTGCCCGAAGGCCGCTCGAACGGGCCTGGCTGCGGCGCCCTGACCGGGGCTGCGAGGTGTTGGCCGGCAGAGGTGCGGATGCCTGGGGGCGAAATGCGGAATCGGTGTGGGGCTTTGCCGGTGGGCAAGATCCGTTGTTGGGACAGATCCCTGGAGGTAAAGTATGGCGGAGATGGGCGCGGGGTGCGGGGTGAGCGGCGATGAGGAGAGGGGTGGGAGGAGGCTGTGGTTGCCTTGGGGCCCGGGGCCGCGCCGAGGTCAATGGAGGGGCCCTTGGAAAAACGGAAAAACAGTCGTTTCTGCCTGACGGGACCCCTCCCCGACAGACGGGCGCGCTGCTGCATGACGCAGGTTCTCACCCATGTCCCCCGCTCGCAGCGCCCATGGAGGCCTCCTTGAACATGGCCTTAGCTTCGCGTTTCAAACCGGTGCTTTGGACTGGTATTCTAACCATCACCGCTGTCAATGTCATGCAATCGAATCAATGGGACCACACAATGTCCAGCATATCGGTGCGCCATGCAGGCACACACGCAGACCGCCCTATCATGCCGTTGTTGATCCCAGTCCTCTTGTTTCGGCTGTGTGCATCAGCGGGCGTGTGGGAACTCTCAGCGCCCCAGGCCACTTCGATCCCAGCTTGCCACAGCACGCAATCTTGTGGCCATCCACGACCTGGGGGGTCGTGGGTTAGCCAATCGCGCCAGTGAACGCATCAAGTTTCCAACGGAGGGGCAGGGCATACAGGCGACCGGCACCTCAGCTGTCGCAGCCAACTGGTGGCGCAGCAGACTTTCACATTGTTGGCAGAGTGGTTGGCTCACCGAACTAGAATTTATCTAATTATATATTTATTTGTCAAAATTGTTGGCGCATGCCCGGGTAGCTCAGTCGGTAGAGCGCCAGGCTCTTAACCTGGTGGTCGTGGGTTCGAGCCCCACCTCGGGCGCCATTTTGCCGTGTTCCAATGCGCGTCATGCAGCCCATCGCCACCACTCAGCTAACGAACAATGCTGTCGTGTTCGCAACACCACATAATGACCACCGTTTCATTGGGTGAATCACTTATGCATTGTGGTGCGCGACTTGTATGCACTTCAAGAATATTGTTTGTATGCAAGGCAATCTGAATTTATACAAAGAAAAGAAAATTGTGTTTGAGAACTCACAGAATTATTTCTTATGTGATGGGACTTTTGTGAGCATCAATTTGATTGTTGTGGGAGATGCCATTCATTTCAGAGATAAATACTATGTTGGGATCGCGCTTGCAGCTGAAATATTTCTACATTGCCATTGAGTGTATGGGCACCTTTAGTATGTGTGTTATAGAGTGGGTTGTATTGTGGTGATGAGTGGGTATCTCTGAAGCGCGGTATGGCTGGTTGGTGATGGATGATGGTCCCTGTCAGGTGAAAAGGAAAGTTCTGTGGGTGCAAAAAAATTCGAACGGTTCGGTTGCGGGGGTCGTTGCCACCGTCGGCAAGGCTCTTCGCTGTGGGAAGGGTGAACAAATATGTAAGCCCTGGGCGTTGTGTGTGTGGTGTGGCCTTGCGTCTGGCCGTGTGCCAACGCCGTTGAAGCATCGGCGATCGTGGATTTGCGCTTCCCGTGTGCACTCCAAAGGGAGCCATTTGAATTGCATCAACGGCATTTCCTTCAAGAGTCGGCCATTGGTGCTGGCCGGCTTCCTCTTATCGCCCCCACATCCATTGATGACACTCGTGAACGTCATGCCATCATTCCCTCGCAGCAAATTATCTTGCGTGAAGGCACATGAAGGGCTGCCATATTTTGCTTGTCAGTACGAGCCACAGGGCTTTCGGGGGGCCATGGGCTCATGACCGCATCAATCCACTGCGTTATGACTGCTTTCAATGCATAACAACCGCGGCACCAGTTGGTTTTCAGACCTTCCGCACATTAATGTACCGCTTGGGCTTTTTTGCGGACAAAACAATATAGTGGTTACCGCTCTTTTCACATTTTTTTTTGTGGAGCAACGTACAATAATTAAAAAATTAAGCTCTGAAAACCAAATGCGGAGGACAAAGCGTAACGGTAACATTTTCCGATGCAGAAGGGTTTAAAGACCCGGCAGAAGCGCTCGTTCGCGACCGTTGATCACCCCTCCACGCGCTTCGATCAATGGGCCGCGGCACGCGGCCTTCCCACTCCCGACACCGCCTCCTCACCACCACACTCGAGTTTGCATTCCCGGCGTCCGCGCACCGTTCCCGCGTTTACAATGCACACACAGGGCCACACTTACAAAGAGCAAAAACGTGCCGAGACAAAAAAAGAAACTCCGGATGGCGTGCGTTCACTTGGAGACAAAAACAAGCAGCTTGACGTCCGGCACCCGGCGCCAGACCACAACCCACGTCCGCCGCGCCCGCTGGCCGGGCATCCTAGTTTTGCGCATGGGGCGGGGGCGTCAGGGAGAAGCTCCAGTCCTGGTCCGCGCTCTCCTCGTCGCAGGTGTACGTCACCGCGCTCTCCTTGGGCTTGCACTTGTCCCCGTGGCAGAAGTCCAGGCAGTCGTCGTTGTAGGCGGACACCAGGCTGCTGCCCTTGGAGTACCACTTCTGGTTGTCCCCGCCGTTGCAGTCGTAGACGAGCACCTCCGTGGCGGACTTGAACAGCTTCCAGCACCAGATGCCCTTGCACACGTCCAGGCACTTGCCGTTGAAGTTGGTGACGGTGCCGCCGTCGATGCCCCACAGCTGGGAGGAGGCGCCCGTGCAGGGAGCGACGATGGCCACCCCATCGTCGTCGCCCGTGCCCACGTCCAGGCAGTAGTCGTCGTTGCTGCCGCCCTCCGGGGTGTAGGAGATGTGGATCAGAAAGTAGATCGTGTTGGCCCCCCCCGTGGCGTTCAAATGCAGCTGCGGCTCCAGGGTGCGGCCATGGGTGGTGATGGCCGCGGTGGCCAGGACGGCAAGCGCCAGGAGGCAGGCGGCGATCTTCGCCATGGCTCCTGCGCAGCGAAAAAATCTATGTCGAGGTCGAGGTGGGAGGGGCCGGACAAGTAGCGTCGAACGCGGGGTGGGGTTGGCGGGGGGGGCGGCTGTTGTTGTGTCCACGTGGCCATTTGGGCTGCGCAGATCCAAACCCAAGCGGCACGAGGGCGCTATGATCTCGAACACGGCTGTCACCGCCCTCCATTGTCCTCTGGCGGACTCTGGCGGGCTCTGGCATATTGGGCCAGCGGTTTGGATCGGGTAAGTTGTTGGTGCGGGCTTGGTTACCCGGGGCAAACCACTGCGCCCACCGGTAGCTTGGAGGCGGCCGTTTCTTGTGGCATTTGACGCTGCGGTAGGTAAATATCGACTGCCACGCGGAGGAGATGCCGGCCGATGCATCGGCGCCAAAACACTCCCCAGTTCAAAGCTTCCGGAGTGGCATATGGGGCAGGGATCCATCCAGACGCCGATCTGTTCCGGCGGCGCCCTGGAGGGAAGGCCGCGGCTCGCTCGCCAGCTCAGCGCCGCCGGCAATCCAATATCAACCAATGCCCGCCAGACTGGGCCACGGAAAACACGTCGCTCGCACGACGCGAGCGACGAGCACAACAAGGGGAGGACAGGGAAGGGCGACGCGCGGGGGGCGCGCGGATCTGCGCATATTCCGCCGACACCCGATGCCGGGGATTCCGACACTGACAAAAGCATCCACGCGGGGGTGCATTGCGGAGTTGCGGCGAGCATTGGCCGGGCAGCGCACTGACCTCGGGTCGCTGGCGCGAGGAGGGGTCGAGGCGGTGCCTGTGGAAGTGCGGTACCCCAAAGAGCCGACGCGTGCAGATCCGCTGTGGGTGGGACCGATCGGTGCGACACGCGAAAGGCTGGCGTCCCGCTTATGCACCGGACGCTCCAGCCCCAGGGAGCCATTTTCGACTGCGGAAATTACGTTAATGGGCGTCTAAAACTGCGTTAATGGCCCGGCAACGCGCCGCGTGGCGCGTGTGCTCCAGGTCAGGATCTCCACTGGGCGGTACGAGGCGGAGGGTCGGGCTGGTGCGGGACCTGGGGTATAAAAATGCACGTGACCGGTGGATTGAGTACCGGACCCCGGCATTGCGGTTACGTAAAGGTATCTCGGCGGTCACATTCTCCCACCGCGTGGGTGGCTCACTGGGGCGTGACAGATTCGGTAGCCTGGTTGCTGTCGAAGAAAGATGCATCTGGGGTTGGGTACGCCCGGGGGGCACTGGCCCCAGGGTCAACATGAGGCAACCGCTCAGCGCGTGCACACCGTTGGTAGGGAAGGCAGAGCGGTTCTGAGCGCCGTTCGTTACGAGAATGGCGCAGTACAAGCGCCAGTAACCAGCGCCAGGGACATCTCAGGATTCCTCAGTTGTAGAGATTCCGGATCTGACTTGCGGAGCCCCCCTCAGGGGCTGTCTCGAAAGTACTTCCGAGTTGAACCCCCACGAACAACCCAGAGCGGCTCAAAAACGCCCTTCTCAACCACTGGAAGGTTTTGGCTTATGCCACTCTTTCCCTTTTTGGATTCCACCTAACCGACGCATGGCGAGTTTCGAGCCACTGTGACGACGCCGTTTCATACTGCTGCATGCGGAACGTCCAGAGAGCGTGCGTGAAGGGGGAAATGGCTGACGACTGTGCGCGAAACTCTGGGAAAACGACTTGCGTAATTCGGCTCTGCTTGGTGGGCTAATCGTGCAATATACACAGTGGGGACGCTGGGGCTGAGAGCTTCGAACAGTCCACATCAGCAGGAATCCCTGTCCCTTGAGAGGGCAGTCCGCAGCCCGTCTAGGAAGCTGAGGGCAAGCAGCTGCGACCGGAGAATGCAACGGACGCGTGACGACTATTGCCAGTATCGGAAGATGTTTCATTCATTTCGTTCCCTGAAAGCTTGGTTTGCTTACATGGATTCTAGTGCACCGAGCTGCATGAGTGTTGACGACTTGACAGCAATTCCGTTGGCTGGAGTGTGCAGGAGGCAAAGGTCAATGGCGCAGTGGCAGTGGCCACGTTTCTGGAGCTGTGCTTTGGCTTAGTGCGTGGCGGCACACAGGGGCGGTGATGTTCCAGTTTTAATCACCTGTTGCTGGCGTCTGCTCCTATCGTGCGCGAACAAAATTGCCTGCAATTGTGCATAATGAACCCCGCTGCCCGCAGCCCGGCTGCTCCCGCTTCCGTTCAAAGAAACCCGTGAGGCATCGCCTCACCGCGCAAGCCGGTGCGTCCACCACAAAAGCCGCGTTTCGCGCGTTGGATTACAGCAAGGGGGCCAAGCCCCATCCCACATGCTCAAAAACTCCAAGGAAAAATGTTGCATCTTGACAAAACACACCCCTTCCGTTCATCACGTTGCCCCCGGAGCTCGCACCGCGACAGCGGAGGCGCGTTCAGTGCGGAATCTGACCACACCGCCAGCGGGCAGGTGCCCCGCGTCGCGACCAAACCCATGCCTCCAACCCGCCCTGCTTCAAGCCCCGTTCCCCGCCTCCTAGAACTCGGGCGCGTCGGCCAGGTTGAAGCCCCACTGCTGGTTGTCGTCCTGGTCACACGCGTCGGTGATGGCGTTGTACATCGGGTCGCAGCGGCTGCTGTCGCACATCTCCAGGCAGTCGTCGTTGTACGCCGACACCAGGGCCGCGGCGTCGGAGCTCCACTTCTGGTTGTCGCCGTCGTTGCACTCGTACACGATCACCTGCAAGGGAGAAATGCCCTTTGGCGCATATTCTGGCGCAGTGCTTGTCCGCTTCCGCCACGGCGACTAAGGCAACGGCGCGCGTTGGCAACCAATGCCGAGACGACAATGCGGCGACAGGCGCACTCGCACAAGGCCAAGGAGCGGAAAGGGAACTTCGCAAGAGGCCTCGCAGGATGTTCGCAACTGCCCACAAGGTCCGGGGTCCGCGTTGTGGCCATTCCGACAACTTTTGTGCGCCGAGTTCACAGGCAAAAACGGCGGTCCAAAACGGGCAAACGAATCAAAATGCGGGGAGAGGACAGATAGATCACCTGGGTGGCTCCCTTGAAGAAGTTGTAGCACGACAGCCCCTTGCAGACGTCCAGGCACTTCCCGGAGTTGTAGTTGACGATCGTGTCGCCGGAGATGTACCACAGCTGGGACACCGCGTCCCCGGAGCAGGGCTTCAGTATGACGTTGTCGTCGTCGCCGGCGTCCATGCAGCGCTCCGTGTAGTCGGGGTTGTAGCCGGCCTTTATCGTAAAGTACAGGACGTCGTCACCCAGGGCCGTCAGGTTGGCCGCGGAGGCCGCCAGCGGTAGCAGGAGGGCCAAGACGATCGGCAGGCACGCCCGGGGGGTCGCCATTGGATCTGAAAAGCGAAACGGTGTCAGAAAGGGAAGAAAACGTGAGGGTCGGTTTTCGCGGAATGAAACAGGGGCGTGGGAGGTGTGCCCGACTGCATTGGCTGGCGCAGATCCGGACGAATGGCGGCGGGATGGCCTGCGGGGATCAGGAAGGAGATTGGCGGCGCAGGGGAGGCGGGGTGGCGGCGAGGGAGGGGGGAGGGCGCAACGAGGCGGTGGGATCGGCGGCCTGCAGGCCGACACTCCCGAAACGACACGCGCGGGGTGCGGCCAGCGCCACGTGGCCGGCGTCCGCGGGCCGCGCATGGGCGGCGCCCGGTCGGCGGTATCCATTCCGCGGTTGAAACCTATCCAGCGGGAGGGGGGGGGGAGAAGGGGGCGGGCTTTCACGGAAGGACGGCTGGGATTGTCCCTTGCTCGCTTCGGAGATCGCCCCCCAAAGGCCTTTCCCACTTATCACGCGGCCGCCGCCTGGGCCTGCGCGCCGGCGGCGGCAGCGCCCAGGTCCGCCCGACGACAACTTGCACAAAAAGATCCTTTCCGGAGGCCCTGACGGGAAGTGAAATGTACATGCGCGGGGGGAGGGCGGCGCGTCGCGCGGCCATGGACTGGTAGCAGCGAGATTCCACCGTGGATGAACCGACAAAGTGTCAAAGGGGATGGCAAATGGCATTGGGAGCGCATGGGGGGGCAATAAGGCGATGAGGAGGCAAGTACCTGGAGCGAAGAGAGGGTGAAGGGCGGGGTGCGCGCCTGCCGGCTGCCCGAGCGCGGGGGTAGGGCCAAGCCGTGGGAGGGTGGGTGGAGAGGGACGGGCAGGTCTGCAATAACGGTGCCGTGATTAAGAGCGCCGAAATGGGTGGGTCCCAGCGCGGAGAGGCCGCCCGAAGATTCGGAGGCGGGGTGAATTGGCCAAAATGGAGTTGGAAGATTCGGGCACAGTCCTGGTCACGGGCCCCAAGCACCGGTGAGAGTATATTAGTCCATCCGTCTTTTCCGTAGGGACTCTTTCTTCCGCTGACAAGGCCAACATGGGTCAGTGGTTTAGGGCTGAGGGTGTCGAAACAAGAAGGGGACTTCACGGAAAAGATAGAGCGACTAATTTCATGCCAGCAGCGGCCCGCGAATGGCAAGTGACGCACGACCAAGGGCCTGCATCAAGGGTAGGGCTGGCAGCAAATGTTTGGTTTCTGCCAAGTGGGTGGTTCGCAGCAGACACGCGGAACAACGGCATGGCTGCGCGAGGATGGAAATTTTTTGGGATCATGCAAAACAAGAGTGAGATATCTCTTGAGACAGTTTGGGTCGCTTATCCTCTGTGTGGGCAGGCCCCATAGTGTGAACTCGTACAGCAGGATGTACTGTCATCCTTGATGGACCGCACTACGCCGAGAGAGATTCTTTCCGGGATTGGTTTTTGTAGGGTTAGGGAACGACTGATTGGAAGGGAATGGCGATCGTCCTTGGCGGCGTTGTATGGCCATCAAGGGGCAAATTGGCTCAATATCAAAATTCGCGGAACAGGTGGCATGCGCGATCCCCGTACATTGGCACGTGGACGCATGCCTCCATCCTTTAAAGTAGTACAGTATGGGTCCCTGTATAGCGCCCCCCTGTGAAATGGCCAAAAGGAGTGCGCTAAGCAGGGTACCCTAAGCAGTCGGTGTAAATGGTACCCTGGCCACCGGGGCAGGGAGTACCCTAAGCCGCCTGTGTAGGGGATACCCTAGCCACCGGTGTAAGGGGTATCCCGGCAGCCGGTATAGGGGGTACCCTGGCCCCGGTGTAGGGGGTACAGGTCCCACTGCGCAACAAAACTGAATAAAGTACTACAGAAATGGTAACAAGCCAAAAAAGGGGACGCTGTTGTGGGCCAGGGGCGCTATTGGGGGGGCGCTATATAGGGACCCCTACTCGAGTCCACGGCAACGGTTTACAGCCAGGCAAAAGGACAACAGGAGTTCTGCCCCTTATATTCAGTCCGCTCATCAACGTTCTTAATGCAATTTCTAGTGCCTCATTATCTCTTCATGCATGCATTTGTTAAGAATACTCAATCAGTTCAAGGTAAAACAACACCACTTGGGAAATTACGTTAGTGCACTGTGCTGGACCAATTCTCACTGGGAACTTCACAGTCGATGCATATCCCCATTGCGCCTCGCTCCCGTGTGCTCTGCAGAAGCACGCCCGCCAGCCCAGGCAATTCTGCGCCCGAATGCGCGGCGCCCAGGCCAGACGCTGCCACCCCTGGGCGCTCGTCCTGCCGACCACGGCGCTCATCTTCTTCCTCCTTGGCCGCCTTAACAGCCGCCCGCTGCCCAGGGCGGGCGGCCGACATGTGCTGCCCGTGCAAGTGCCCACAGTGCCACATGCACTTGCGTTCGACGACGAGCAAGGTTAGAACACACCCCGCCACCGCAATCCAGTTTTCATCGCTTGGTTCCGCGCTCCAACCGAGGGGATTCGAGCAGATCTTTTGCAGCATTGTTGCCAGAGAACCCAGCTAAATTGGGTGCCATCTTGCCCGTTGCTGCCCCTGCTTATCGAAGCGCATTTTTTGGCTGCTGTATTGAAACGGCGTTTTGTTTTCCGTGCTTCGCGCAAGACAGCGCGGCCTCCCGGGGCTGGCCGCCCAGGGAGCAGGTCGCGCGGCTGGCCAAGTGCGGCCGCATCGTGCTGGCCATCGTGAACTGCGGCTTCCTGGACTTCGCGGACAACTGGGCACAGTCGCTGCTCAGGGCGGGCGTGGGCCACTTCGCGTTCGTGCCCCTGGACCAGAACGCCTACGCGCAGCTGAGGGAGCACTACCCGGAGCACACCATACCCCCCCTCCCAAGGTGCGCGATCCATTGGCCGTGGTCCCCGATCGCCCAGCTGGGTCGATGGGGGTGCCACATGGGCATCACCTTCAGGGTTTGGGTGGCGCGGCGTGATTGGTCCACTGCCGGGTGAAGGCTGGTTAGGCGCAATGTGTGAGCTTTGGGGCGGCGACGGGGGGTGGGATCTGTGCGGTTTGCCTCCTGGCCTGACAGCGTCACATCCACAGTATCCGCAGGAAACTTGCCAGCTGCTGGTCCTTTGGGAGGACCCGCCAAACGCCCAGGTTGCTCGCTGCCCGGGTTTCGCGTTTTGTGGCCCCCAACCTGTTTCGCGAACTTTCGCTGCTGCCGCAGCTCACGCCCAGCTGTCATGCCTTTCTGGGATGTGAGTCCCATTTTTGCCGATGGGCCCCGCTGCTTTTGTGAAGGACGTCGCGCGCCAATCAGCTTTGGGCATGTCCCCTGATTTTGCCTGTTGCTTGAACCACCACCGTGCTGGGAGTGAAGCAACACGTGAGAATCCAGACATGGGGCGCAATAACCCACCAAAATTCCAGATCCCATTGCAACAATATATTTGCTGGGGGCTGAGATCCTCATTTGTACTTCGAAGTAATTACCTTCGAAAGCCAAATCGATGCCCTTGCACCTTGTAGGCGATGACAAGGGTGTACACATCTAAGGACTTGTGTCTATCCCTCATCCATGTTGTCATCCACTTATCACGTGCATGTTCTGCTGGCCATTGTCTGCAGTGAACTTGGGGGAACGGAGCTGCCAGACAGCAAGGAACACACGTACGGCACGCCGGAGTACTTCCGCCTGATCAGGGGCCGGCAGACCATCCTGCTGCGCTTCTTGCACCAGGGCCATGCAGTCTTTCTGAGCGATGTAGACACAGTGTGGATGAGCGACGCCCTGGATGAAGTGCCGATCGGAATGTACGACATGATGGCAGCCGACGATGGCGACATGAACATCCCTGTAGGCACAGGACATGGAATGTATGTCTGTGCAGGTCGGTGCCAATAATGAGGTTCGGGTCATGATGGGTATCCTGTTGCATTGAGAAAAGGAACACCAGCCCCCAAGACAAACAACCTTCACGCAGTTCTTTGCAATAGATTCGTCTATTCCAGCTGTATGTGCTGAGCTCCACAAGGATGTGAAAATGTGTTGGAAGATGCAGGGGTCTTCCCGCTGGTAAACCTTCCAAGGCTTTAATATCTCTGGAAGATGTGCTGCCTTCTTAGCAGGTCAACTGCCTTGAATTGGAATGCATGCTCTCGTACCTGCTAGATGGGCGCTGCCTACCTCGCGTTGCAGCAGTGGTGGACAGGGAATACAGATGGTAGCAACACAGAATTGCTTCAGGCAGTGTGAATGCTGTGTCTGTGGCAGGTATGCTGTATTTGGAACCCACTGCTGGCGCGATCGAGCTTCTCCGAATCTGGCGGGACAAATTGACCCCAAAGGATGATGCGGATGGGCCGCACACCACAGTGGATCAGTTTAGTTTCAACAGTGCAATCCGGGACATGGGTGACAGGCTGCACTGGGAGATGCTGGAGGGGGATGCATTCCCCCCCGGCTTCATGTTTTTTAAGGACTCGGGGTGGAAGCACCGAGACAGCTGGCACCCAACCCGGGAGCCAGTCATCGTGCACAACAACTGGATAAAGGGCGGCGACAACAAGCGCAGGCGTTTTGTGGACGCCGGCCTGTGGAATCCCTCCGGAAAATTGGACGTTTCAAAATGCTCCTGAGACTTGCTGAACGGAAAGGGTGCATTGATGTAGACCAGGTTTCTGCAATTATTGCTTGCATGCATGTAATCTCTGGCAGTTTCAGATAGATTCTCGGTGGTGGTGTTGGAAATGGGTTGTAATCCAAGAACTCAACAGCCACGTTCGAGCTCTTGCTTCACAGCGGCGCCTACAATCCTCGTTGCTGGTATTCGAGCTTTCTGAACAAGGCGGGTGGAACTTTCCATGAAGATGAGGCCCCACGACACACACTTTACCGCAATAGTTTTCTGTGCTGGCAGCAGCAAATTGGCTCACCGCGTTGCCACAAGTCGTGTGGATGAATCTTCTAGCAATCCTCATCTGTCGGCATTTGCTTTGGACTTTTGACTGTGCCAGGTCGCACCCATTTCGTGAGGTCAAGGTGCTGTCCAATTGCAGAGTACAGGCAGCCCAACGTTCCGATACATGACGAACGCTGGGCATGCACATGGCATAGCACAAGTCAGACCCAGGTTGCCACTTCCTACGCTTTCAGGACAGCGGGGTGACACCGAGATAATGAGGCTCAGGTTGGGGGCAGCTGAAGAACCCTTTTCAAGTAGATATCCTGAAGGGAAACAGGGGCAACCAACACGACTGCGAGGGAAATAGTGCCTGGGGAGGGGCTCGAACCCACGGCCTGGAGAAATGCGGGAATAAGCATTGCTGGCTTCTTCCAAAAATCTCCTGCTCTGCCAACTGAGCTACCGTAGCGTGCGCACAGTAGTTGACTATATATTTATACCTATATTGCAATAGTTTCAATTTCTTCTAATAATGAGCAACTGTTAGATGCAAATTGCTTCCAAGGCATCGTACCGTAACATCAGAATGTCTGCTGTGCACATCCTTTGACGCATTCGACAAGACAAAGCTACAGTTGAGGGACCAGGAAAGGACGCGCCTTGCGGTAAGCCACGACATCTGTCAGCGCCAAGAATATCTACAGCATGGGAAAACACGGCAGTGCTTTCAGCTGCGCCTGCAATCACGCGAACAGAATCAAAAGCAGTCGCACATTCATTAGAAACGCTGGCACAGATATTGGGGCACGATCAGGGGAGCCTAAATGCAGGGCAGACAGGATGGACACGGCTGCTTGCTTGCTCGACAAGGCTGGCACTTCCAGATCCTGCATTTGTACAAAACCCGGCTGCGTCCATCGTCTGTGGTTGAAGTGCGCCCAGGCACCTACAATTCCATGTAGGGCCGATGTCCAATATCGGCACCATGCCTCGAACTGTGGATAACAGCCTCGGCCCCGCCATTCGCTTGATTACCGGAATCTGGCGATGAAAGTTTTCAAGGGGACGAATGTGGAAACCCGGTGAATCTGTCTTGTGGTCCCCAACTACAGCTAGAGGGATGGTTTCCTGAGCGAAGTTGGGCTTTCCCTCTCGTGCACCGTGGCCTTTGTTTTAATGCTTCTCGCAACGAAAATGTTTGGTGGGTGGGCCACCACTGTTATACTTCACAGCACGCAGGATAGTCATTAATCTCCTTCTTTTAGGGCACGCAGGATAGTCATTAATCTCCTTCTTTTAGGGCACGCAGGATAGTCATTAATCTCCTTCTTTTAGGGCTTTGATGGAAGTCGCGTGGGCGCTGGGTCTCAGAATGTTGACACAAGTGAGCGTTTTGCAGAGCGATCTGCACAACTAGTCAGAAGATGGAAAGGCTTCCCATCTAAAGCAGGAGTTAAAGAACAACCAAGACGCCAATAAAAACCTCTGCGAAAATACACAAGCCACGCATATGGCTATGGTTGCACAGGGACACACCACTGTCTACCACAGCTAGAAGAACCGATCGATTCTGATGGCATGACACAATTGCGGCATCTGAGGCGCTTCGTGTGCTGTCTGTCACACAACATCCGCTCACACTACCTGCAGACCATTCTTCGCCCCTTCCTCTGATCACCCCAAATCCATAGGCATTGAGTTCTCAAGTCGGTGGAGGCCCACCGCAAGCCATCGCTGTGCGCACATCTAGTCACAGTAGCGACCGAGCGATCGTGCCGCCAGCGTAGCGCGCTTCCAAACTCGCGCTCAATGCCAGCACTGCCCTTCCGGCTGGCATCCACATGCACATCCACGTGCACCGCAGCCTGCCCTTTCCCAGCGCCACACGCATCCAAGATGCCCAATCCAACCATCCCTTGCCCCCAACGAGAACACCGCCTTTCCAATCGTGCACAAACATACCCTGCGAAAGCACCGAAATCCTGCAACTGACGCGATGAACATGCTGCGAAGTTACATTGTGCCATTTGATTCATTCATTGTCAATATTGCTCTCATTGTCCTCACTGCGCACCGCCCATCGCCACAGGGGCCGCGTCCGCTCCGGTGCCAACCACCGGCTCCGCGGAACCGACATCATCGGTGCCGTTCGTGTCGGCGACGCCGTTCACCGCAGGCGTCAAGGCCGTCACAACCGACTCCTCCTTTTTCCCGTCGAACACCGCGCTGGCCAGCCGCCTCAGGTCCTCCCCCGCGCTCCCCACGCCGATCTTCTCGTCCCTGATCTCGCGCAGCTGCCGGATCGTGGCGCTCCTGTCCTCGGCGAAGACCATGCGGCGCAGGAGCAGCTGGCCGGCGCCCAGCAGTCCCACCACCTCCAGCACGACGTCCGCCTCGCTGATGAGCAGCCCCGCGGAGAGGGCGAACAGGTAGGCGCCAAGTGCCAGCTTGTAGGGCCCGGGGTGGGCGCGGTAGGAGTCCACGATGCCGTCGACGCTCACAGCCGGCAGCTTCAGGCCAGCAGGCGTTCGCCACGGCATCTGCGCGGCCCTCCACCCCTTGGCGCCACCCTGCAGCAGCCCAGAATTGATTGATCCATAGCGTTGTGGACTCGATGGATTCGCGGACTTGTTGATTGATCGACGGCACCTCGGGCGGCGCCGTTTGTTGCCCGCCAAAAAAAGGCTCACCGGGAATCCGACACGACAGTTGAGGTCTGCGCAGGGTAGGGCGCGATCGCCCTTGTGCCAACTTTTCTCCTGGCATGCGCGGTGCGAAATTCCTCTTCCGAGACGGCCACGAGTCTCCGACAGGGGCAAGGCGTTCATCCGACGGTACAAGCGCACAGCAACACCATTCACCCAAAATACTCAAACACCAAAATGCCCCCGTCAATGGCCATTGCCAGCCAACCATATGCACAACAAACGCCGAGCTGCGCCGCGCACAGCCGCCGCACGCACCTGAATGCAGCAGATCGATCCGATGTCCTTCGCCTTGAGGATATCCCTGGCGGCAGACGCGGCCTGGCTACCGTCGGAGTCCACCAGCACCACCAGCGCATCCCGCCCTACACCCCGCAGGCGCGCAAACCTCTTTCCAAAAGCGCCGTCCCCGGTCCGCTTGTAGGGCAGCGCCACTGCCCTTTTACCGTATTGGCCCCAATCCGGCCCGCCACCCTCCTTCTCCGCCTTGCTGCGCACATCCACCACCACAACCCTGCGCGTCGATTTCACCACCTGGGCTATCTTGTAAGGCTGCATGGTCCTCACTTTTCCGGCCAAGCCCTGCACGGCCATGGCGCCGAGCTTCACTGCGAAGATGCCGCCCAGGGCGGCCAGCGCCGCGCCGTTGGGGTGCTCCGCGATGAGGGCGCCAACGTCGAACCCCGTCAGAGATTGGGCCGTCAGATCGAGACCCTCCGCCGCCATGGCCGCCGGGACCAATCCAGCCGCGGTGGTGATGATGGCCCCGCTTCCGAGAGCCGCAGCCCTGGCTGGGTCCCCTTTCGTTTTCAGGTTTCGGGGTGGGGGGCAATCCGTCGCCGCAACAGCGATCTCACGCCTGCAAACGGCCCAGCCCCTGCCGCGGTTAAAGCTCACGGCGCCAGCGCGGCGCGCTGATGATGCGCAACCCCCGCCGCGCGTCACCGTTCCAAAAGCCTGCATCTCGCCCCTCGTGCTGCCGCGTGCGGCCAGGTCAAATGTGTGCAAATGTCAAAATTGTCCCCCGGCCACTGCTGCCCTTCGCTTGCCCAGTCCTGCGGCCCACGGTTGGTGGCTTCCGACTCAGACCCACTCCCCACACTCGACGCCACCCCTCAGCAGCCCCGGCCGCACCCTCCTTCGCCTCTCGACAGAGGTGTCCGTGGGCGCGACAGCGCCTCATATTGGGCGTCCCGCGGACCATGACAGTGGTCCACGTCGGTTGCCGGGATCGGGCCGGAACCTGCGGCCTGCGGTTGGGTGCCGGTCTCGGTGCTGTTTCGGTGTACCGCCTCCCAGTAGACCGAGAGTTCCATCATCAAGAAATCTTCCATGTCGAGGCGAGCAGACAGCCATCAGCTCCCCGTTTCGCTCAACAGCAGTGTCCATGGTTTGTTCCACGAGCACCCCAGAAGATACCACCACAGCCCAGCCGCCGAGTTGTTGCGTTCGTTGGGCACTGTCGAAATGAACCCACAATCAGGCGATAATGGCAGATGTGTGGCCATTCATCCTTTCGAAATGAAGCGCAGGCGGAACGCAAAAATGGCGCCCTCACTGTCCTCACGAACTATTGGCATTGCTTCGGTTCCCGCTCGCCGACGGGCAAGGACACTTCGTTCCAGGAATGATCATCGACAACCTCTTTTCTCGGTGAAGGGAGTTGACGGATTCCTGGATTTTGTTTTCTTGATTTAAACTAACTGATAATGGACGCCGCTTTGCTCTGGCAAAATAGGAAGCCCACGGCTACCTCATTGCCTTGTTATGCAAATTGAATGATGACGTTGATGAGAGCTGCGAGCGTTTGCTTTGCCACGGTCCAGCGGCGGACTGCGACGCAGTCGAGACGGGCTCCGGGGCAGCGACCCGGCGCCCGGAAGTTGGTAGTTACGTTGCGGCCGCCGCACTACAAAAGGCACCGCTGCCCCCCGTGACTGCCGAGTCTCGCCACAACGCCTGGGCGGAGTTTCGACAGCGGCGGCCTTCGCAGCAGCCCCGGCGAGGGCCTTCGAAAGGGCTGCGTCTGGACGACGCCTGCCTTTCGTCGGCGCCCTGTTGAGCGTCCAGCCCCTGGGGAGGGGCCAGCGCCCCAGCGGACGGCTGGCGTCGGCGAAGACTCAGGCGGGGAAGGAGCGCGGTGGGCGGTGGCGGTCAGGTGAGCGCGCTTGCTGCTCGCTGCAGGCTACGCTGATTGCGTGCATTGTCTCAAGATCTTCGTCGTTCGTCCAGCCGTCCAGCGGCCGTCTAGAGTTGCTGCCTTTCGGCCCTTCGCACCCAGGCGTTAGGAGCATTTGGGGGCGGCAGTTTTGCGCCACCACATTGCCTCGGATTCGTGGTTGGCTGTCTTGGGGCCGTTTAGATTTGCTGCCCATCGGCACTTTGCGTCCATGCGTTATGCGCACAGCACGCCTAACGACTGTCCAGGCGGCAGTGTCGCGGCACCGCACTGTCTCGGGCTAGTCGTTGCCCGTTTGGGGGAAGAAAGAAGCGAAGTGTCAATCTGAACAGTGCGCGTTTCGACAGGCGATTCCCAACCACTTTGCGCGCCGCACGGGTCTTGCCAGCGTTCGCCGTGGCCGCCGTTGGCCCCACGGGCGCGTTCGGCGCCCAGGCGCCGCGGAGAGCCAAGCGACGCTGCTGATGACCTTGGTGGAGGGGCGGAGGGCTGGGAGGTTGGCAAGCACGGCGGCGTGGGGCGCCCGCGAGGTTTGCCGTGGCGGCGGCAGCGCTCGAGGGCGGCCAAGCGTGGCCGCGTGTGCCTTGGCCGGGTACGCCGAGGCCTTTGCAGTTGTGGCGGATGGAGAGGAAGCAGGTGACTATGGTTGCCGCAGTGTGACCACCTCATGGGATGTTGCATCTTCCTGACATCTTCCCGAACATCACCCCCAGACCCCAGCACCCCAGTCATGTGGGCCCCAAGGTCACGGGGCGATGACGAATCGAGGCATTGACTCTTTCTTGCACGCACACTGTCCAGGAACTCTGCCGGTGGCGAGTACCGACAGCAATAAGGTTTGCAAGCCAGGGTGGCGGGAAGGGCAGTCGAGGGCCCAGACCATGAGGAGATGTTCGCAGATGGCGGAGCCTTTTGTGATACAACATTTGGGATTGATGAAAAGGAACAATACAGGCTACCCAGGAGCACAGGGACGACCAGGGAGTAATGGTGAGGGTTACGAATGGTCTTTTGTTGTTTCTGCTCTTTCTTTTCTTTCTGTTTGGTACTGTGGAAGCGGTTGTGCGGTGATCAAGGGGCGGAGGCAAGGTCGCTGGTTACCCACCACCGGCAGCTTGCCATGCAGGCGTTAACGCCCGGAGTCTGTTTGCATTGCCCTTTTCCAGGTGGTTGGAGGCGCACCACGGCAACCTGGTGACAGCATACACACCGGGGTTCGGGAAGAATGAGAGGAGGCCATGGCGCGAGTCGAAAAGGGTCAAATCAGGGTCAAGGGATACCCCAGATCCGCCGCACACAAGGACGCAAACTAGAACAAGAGTCACAGAAGGCGCTCTTGAACCCAGGGTACTATCAGGGCCACCGGGAGCCTAACCCACAATGAGGCACAATGATAGGAACCCCATGTCCAGGATTTTGCTAGCAATATGGCATGTGGCTGGCACCGCAGCGCTGTGGTGATGCAGGCCTCAAGTGAATCGGGGTGTTTGTAGGGCAAGTACGCGTGGGAGAAAGAGACACCACATTGGAGGCTGCTGCGTAAAGGCTAACAATGTCCATGTGGCCCTTCTTATGCGGTGTTGCTGGCGCATTGGATGCATGGTTGTTGGTGGCGAGCACTAGGGCTTGTGAGGTGAGCCTAAAAATCCATGGTCTGCAGAGGACCTCTGTGCGAGGAAGTTCATCAAATGCAGAGGGCTTTTGCAATAGTTCTTACTGCCACAGGATGCCACTGCCCATGTCTGGCGTGTTGAGGCTGGAGCACTGCAGTGCGGAAGGCTGGCGATGATGCAACGAGCTGGCTGGTTTGTCAAGGTGATCACAGTCTGGGTGTATGCCCAGCCCTGCAACAAGACATCTCCTCAGTTGCAATGTGTTGTTGGGATGCTCTGGATGCTCCAGTGTTAGTGTGTGCCACAAGCGAAATTACGCATGGAATGCGCCGCACTGAACGATTTCTTGGTTGTGGCACAGCAGGAGGCACAGGGAAGGCGCTCCAGCCGCACGTTGAAGCATTCTGGCAACAGGACAACCTGCAGTCCGTCCCAATCGACGGGAGGGAATTCGAGAGCAGTCAAGAGGTGAAGGGTGTCGTTGAGGGCGCCCACGCTTGGATAGTGTGGCATCATGTGGCTGTACTTGTAGCCATGGCAACATTCAGGCAGCATTCGGCAATCGATTCGTTGCGTTTGGAATAGAACGAGGGGTCCGCAGAGGCCACCCAATTGTAAGAATAACCAGCAGATGCTTTCGGCTCAAAGCCACAAAGAAGCCCCCAGCAGTGACCCAGGATTGGTTACCAGGGTCGGATGCCCATGTGGGGAGGAAGGCACATGAGCAGATCCTGATGCGTGGGCCATCAAGTGGGCCAGGGGGCGGGGGCCATCTTGGGAGCGGCTGTCCACTGGAGCAGCCAGGGCAAGAGTGCACTGGGACAGGCAAGGGTCACTGCATGTGGGCTTGTTGCACAATCCAGTCGCTGCTCCTGAGCAATAATGCTACTAAGTAATGTTACTAATGCTACTAATAATGCTACTAATGTCAGTAATGCTACTAATAAAATGCTACTAGGTATCTGCATTTCTGAAGAATGGGGCACACCCCGTTGGCCTAGGGTTGTGCCTATGGGAGCTCAGCAGCTACTGCAATGGCATGTGTGCGGCAGTAGATCAGCACCCAAAGTGACATTCATGCACGTGCTTGTACATAATATGAGCGGTTTCCAGTGATAATGTGCATGTGCCAGTTTGACATGCCGCATCTGCGATTCAGATAGAAATGGTGCAAGAAGTGAGAGAGGGACAAAGGCTGAGGGACCTGCCAAAGGAACCAAATTCACTCTGCTAATTTGTTGCCCTTCTGGGTGTTGAAGCTTGAATAGAAGCAGCGCTCTCCAGAACACACAATGCCAGCACCTATGACTGGCATATATGAGGCAGATGGAGCATGATGTGCAGCGTAGAAAGCTGAGGTGACCTTTGTGGAGTGGTTGGTTCGCCAAGTTGATCACAATGTGGGTGCATGCTCATCCTTACAACAAAACATCCCCTTCTGTGAAAACACCGTTGTCGCAAGATGAAGAGAAGTCTGCTTGGAAGAGTGGCGGTAGGTGTCAAGCATATGGAAGGTGTGCTGAACGATGGTTTGCTTGCACAGCAGGAAGCAAAGAGAGGGCAGTGATTGGTATCCTGAAGCATCCTGGGGAAGGTGCAGCCCTAAATGCATGATGGTCTAAACCATCACAAAAGGAGGGGAATCGGATAGAGGTCCAGGAGCAGATGGCACTCGCGCTGTCCTTCTCATCTCTGCTACTTGGACTCAGAGAAATCTCGAGGCTGGTGTGCAGTTTGAAATGGTGCTGCCCTACTTCGATGTCCTGGGACAAGATGCAGCAAAAAATCTGAGGCAGCAGGGCTGCTGCTCAAAGTGCTAAAGGCCGACTGGCAGTAGAGGACACAGTGGCTGGCGCATGGTTATCCGGGAACCCAGTTGGACATGGACTGGGACCAAAATGAAACCAACATTTTGGGTGGCCTGTGAGGGGAAGAATGGCCTTGGCGATTGAGGCTGCCTGCTGCAAAAGTGCTTGCATGTGTGCTAGCCAGCCTATTAGTTATTTTAGTTACATGGCTGGGGGCCAGACATGCGAAATTTATTTGCAGAGGCAGCTCCTGAAAGGGCTGGAGCGCTTGTGAGACATTGGCCAGGGGAGAACATCAGTCGCATATTGAACATTGGGAATCCGTTTTCATTCAATTTGGGTTGTGAGTTGTTTGTACATTGT